GTGAAGGACAGGAAGGCCTGGCGTGATATGGTTCATGGGGTCACGAAGAGTCGGACACGACTTCATGAATGAACAACAACAACCCTGAGATCACATGAGTTGTCCCATAAATCAGCTGCACCAGTAGAGGTGGTAGCTGCCCCTCCATTGGGAATCTGTTGGTCTCCCTACCTCATGTCCTGTATGCCTGATGTGGAAGGGACTGGTTCATTTCCCATGCCACCTACAAGGTCTCTTGCTATCCCTGAGGCTCCCTACACCCCATAGAAGAAGAACTCCTGCTCATCTTGGCCAGTGCCTAACTCCTGCAAGGCTGGTAGTTGCCAAGGACGGGGCTTATTAGGGCATTGGTCATGAAAGCGGTGCACCAATTGTGGCACATGGACATCCGTTGCTGCCTTCCGTGACCTCTCCGGCTCTGGGCAGCCTTTCTAGTGCATCAGGTACTCAACCCGCTTCCCTCTGTGTTGAGAGTTTAGCACCGCTTCCACCTCGTACTTCCTCCCCATTTACCCGTATGGGGGGGGGGTGCCATCTGCAAACACAAAGTGGAGGAGGGTGCCTCTTTCGCAAGCAAAGACCAATGAAATACAGGGTGAACCTTTATTGATGCTAGCAATTGCAAATGAAATCCTACTGGGTTTATTTGCTTTGTCACTGGGAAAGGGCCAATAAATTTTGAGTCTAGTTTCTTGGAAGATTTCACCAAAGTTAGAAATGTTGTAGAAAGCCACACCAAATCCGCTTCTGCAATTCTAGCTCCTTCTTGTCTATGCACATCTGCTATTTTTTTGTATTGGCCTTTGAGAGTTCAAGCTGTTCCCTTAAGAGGCTTCGGGCTGCTTACCTCTCATGCAGGAAGTCTGTGGTGTGAGGAACGGTTGCCTTCTTGTCTGGTTGTTGGTAAGGCCCATGGGTGGAATCCCTAAATTGCCTGGAACATACTGATAGAGGAACGTGCTGCACTGTTGTAAGGAAATTCAGCAAGAGGTATGAGATCAGTCCAGTTATCTTGCTGGTATGAAATATAGCATCTTAAATATTGCTGCAATAATTGGTTAACCTTCTCAGCTTCTCTGTTGGCCTCTGAATGATGCGAGGAAGACAAATGAATTTTAATATTGAATACGTGCAAGAGCGCCTTCCAAACTTTGGAAGTGAACTGATTTCCTAAGTCTGTGATCACATGATTGACCAATCCTCGATATCTAAAGACATAGTCCAAAAAGAGTTGAGCTGTTTTCTGGGCCATTGGGAGGCTCTTGCAAGAAATAAAATGAGTCTGTTTGATGAATAAATCCACTACTACCGGAATGTTAGAATATCCCCACACTAGGGAAATCTAGAGACAGTGTCCCAGGACTGTGACAGGGTCTCTGGCAACTGCAGTAACCTAGCCAGCTAGCTTATCAGGGATTGGTTTTGCTCTACAATAGAGATGACAAGAGGAAACATAATCTTTAATGTTGGTATGGCTACCAAAACTCTCTGAAAAGTCTATGTTGGGTTTTAAATATTCCCCCCCCCATGCCCTGCTGTTTTGTTGCCATACCACAGCTGCACTACCTCCTCCCTTAGGGGAAGAGGAACATATAACTGTCCATTATGCAACAGGTGCCCTCCCTCTACTGTGAAAGGTGCAACAGTCCTTGTTGGGTCCCTGGAGGTCATCCACCCAGGCCCTGGTGTATGCATCCTGCTGCTGCTGTGCCCTAATCCGATCAAAGAGATCAACAGCTTGTCTTCCTGCTCCCAGCTTTTCGTGTTGGTCTGATTTATGGTGCAAGTCAAAGTTGCATGGCTGGAGTATCATGGGGCGGAGGGTGACTGAGGCACCCTGTACTCTGGCTTACGTGAGAGGATGTTTAGAAGTTTGTTTTGGGAGCCTGGAAAATATGAGATGTAGAAATCAAAGCAGGAGAAAAATTGTGACCACCTGATTTGCCAAGGAGTGAGAGGTTGAGTGTTCTGCAGAACCTCTAAGTTCTTATGGTCTGTATAAACTTGTATAGGGTGCGCAGCTCCTTCCTGTAGGTGTCTACATTGTTGAAAGGCATTTTTTGCCGCCAGCAACTCTTTATTGAAAACATTATATTTTCTTTCTGTTGGGAGGAGTGCTCTGGAGTAAAAGGCACATGGTAGTAAATCTCCCCTGCTTTCCTTCTCTGCCTGGAGTAGGACCACTGCTACTGCCTTACCTGAAGCATCTGTCTGCACCACAAAGGGCAGGAGGGGAGGGGTGGCGGAGGAGAGACTGAGTAGCAAAGAGCTCTTTTAACTCTTGAAACGCCATTTGCTCTTGGGTCGACCCTTTCCTAGGAGCTGGAACAGCAGTTTTACACATTCAGCAAAATTAGGGATGAATTTCCTATAGAGGTTAGCCAGAAAGCGTTGCACATCTTTCATATTATGGGGGGGAGTGCCGTGTACCTTTGCTGGATCCATCTGTATGCCTTCTGGGGAGATTCTGTAGCCCAAATAGTCCAATCGAGGCAGGTCAAATGCACACTTTTCTAGTTCGGCAAAGAGCTTGTTGTCCCATAATTTTTGCAATACATTTCTGATATGGGTGACATACATACAAGGAGGGATCTTTGGAATAAAGTAATATGTGTAGTCCTTGGGGTTCTCTGAGCTTCGTTCTTTTCTTGCAAACGTTTCGTTACCCAGCCAGGTAACATCTTCAGTGCAAGAATGGAGTAGAGTTTGCTCTCTGTTTATATGCTGTGGCATGCCTTGCCAGGTTTTTTTTTTCATGGTAGTTCCTTGATTAGGGTATTGTTTACTGCTTGATTGTATGTCTGGTGATAATCTCGGTGTTAATCTCTGCTTATCTGGTGATGATTTCTGGTGAGGAGATGTTCTGGTCTTTTGATTCCTTTTATTGTCTCTTTTGAATAGCGTGTAGATGTTGTTTATTTCTGTGTGTCTATTGATGGCTGATTTGTCTGAATGCCAGGCTCCCAGGAATCCCCTTGTATTTTTGGATTTAGCTTGGTCTAAGATGCTGACAGTTTCCCAGCTGAACTGTGGTTGTGTCTGTCCGCGTGTTGTGAGTTTAAAGAGTTTTCATCGTGTCTTCTGACTGCTAGTTGGTGTCAATGGATGTGCTCTGCTAGCCTTCTGCCTGTCTGTCCTACATAGTGGCCGTTACAGTCCTCAGGCTACATGTTGTTGATGACTCCTGTTTTTTCTTCTTGGGCTACTGGGTCTTTTGGTTTACTTAAGACACATGAAACTATGTTCTTATTCTAGTTTACTTGTTTCTCTTTGAGAGAAAAAGAAACCTTCTTTCCTTGAGACCAACTGAATTTCCCATGGATCATTTTCAGGTGGGATTTCTACTTGAACTCTTTAAGAGATGGAACCTGTTGTAGACAGTTATGTCAATGTCATGCTTATGCTTTATCAGCCAAAAGGGCAACAGCTAACCATTAAATTTATAGATGGTGTGAAGGTAAATGTAAAGTATGGGCATATGTAGCTGATTGCCTATTTTACTCTAGAGATATGGGCTGGAAAGATCTGACTTTAGTCAACCAATTTAAAGAGTGTCTACTTAATGAATTACTAGATGAGCTAGTTTGCTAAAGTATTCCAAATGGTTGGGAGGAGCTAATTCAAAGCTGTATAGCCATAGATGGAAAACCAGAAGAACTGATGGGAAGCAGAGTCCCTTTCTTCCTCTGTCTGCTCATCAACAACTTCAGAAGTTGAACCTATACAACCTTGGAGCAAATCAAGTCACTAAAAAAATAATGTAGATACCCGCTTGGTCTCTGTATTGTGGAGCTTCGGGAAATATTGCACGTTCCTGCCCAGCTGAATCTTTCTACCCTGAGTCTGCAGTGAGGGGTAATTCTTGTAGAACATTTTCAAAGTAAGTGTACAAAGCATCCAAAGCCTGAATTCTTGGGCAACAAGCTAGGCCTCCCTTACAGGAGCTCAGAAAAAGGGGGTTGTCTAGCAATTAAGGGGAGCTTGCACATAACACAAAGCAGTGATGTTTTATCCTGTGTGCTATTCTTTGATCTCAGAGAAGTTCAGAGATACATCTTACAGACTTTCTGGATTCTGAAGCTGTGACTAACTTCACCAGTATGATTATTGTTTGCAGATATGCTTTTCTAACTCCCCAAATTTGATCCATCAAAGAGTATAGAGGTCATTGATTGAAGGCACCTATGTTCTGGCTTAGTTATTGAATATACTTGTCCATCATACCATAACCATCAGGAAATCTTACAAATGTATTTAACCTTTTCCTTGCGTGTCCTCATGGTATTCGGACTAGACTGGATCCAGACCCATAATCCAGAGATTCACCCAGAACAAGGATCCATTACAATTAACTCCCAGAATTGCCAAGATCATCATTTGCAGAGCTGAGATCATAGAATCATAGCAGGTGAAGTCCATCCCCCTGTACACTGTAGAATTCACTACACCAATCATGGTAGATGACTATCTAGCCTCTGTTTGAAATCTCCAGTGAAGGGGAAGAAACCACTCCACATAGTAACCTATTCCATTGATTGATAGCTCTTACTGACAAGAAGTTCTTCCTAATATCTAATCTGTACCTACATTTTTGAACTTTCATCCCATTAGTTCTAGTCTTACCCTCAGGAATAAGTGAGAATAAGTCCAAATTGTCTACAGTGTGCCAGCCCTTCAAATATTTGATGATAGCTATGATTTCCCCTTTCAACCTTCTCTTCTGCAAGCTAAACATACCTGGATCTTTTAACTATTTCTCACAGAACTTGGTTTCCAGTCCTTTCACCTTCATCTTGGTAGCCCTTCTTTGGATTTGCTCCAGTTTATCTGTATCCTTTTTAAACTGGCCTTTCCCATTGATCACCAGGACACTTCTCCTGTTTTACCTGTAACATATTCTTTTTTTTAATAGTAATTTTATTAAAGATTACAATTTATAACAATAAAAGCTAATACAAACTAAAAAAAGAAAAGAAAAGAATAAAAAGAAAAAATAAAAGGTGCAGAAAAGAAAGAGAAAAAATAGAAAAGAAAAATAGAAAAGAAAAAAATAAGAATATAGTAAAGAAAAAGAAAATAAATATATAAAGAAGTGACTTCCCTCTTCATCACAAGTATAAACAATTTTACTAACTTATCACCTTCTCTTAAAATACAGCAAGCGATCTCGTCTTCCCATATCTGATCTCTTATCTATAAACAAATCGATAAAACCAAGTCATTTCAGTCCTGATGTCAGCATTAGTCCATTAACAATAACCCAAGATAACAACATATCTATAATCTTGATCATATAAACTATATTCCTTCCTTTTACTTCTAACGATCTTGATCTTTACTCCCTCCAAATCATGTCCTAGAACTTTATTTCTTTTCATTTTTTCTTTGTCTCTTTTCACAAAATTCTTCAAAGCTTTAACAAGCCTCTTTTTTAAACCCAATATAGGAAAATTACCAGGTCACTCTCTTGGTTTATTTGTATATCCTTTTAATTATTAAAGCATCAGTGAGTTTCTTTTGTATGTCCAGTGTAAAATCTTTTTCCATGTCATTCTTGTAGCCTGTCATTTTAAAATCCACATTCAAATCAGCCTCAATCATGTCAGGTAATACTTGTTTCTCTTCCATAACATCTTTTACAGACAGTCTATCTATAGAGGCAGACACTCTTAAAATTAACTTCTGGGTCCATTGTTCAAAAATATCCTTCAGTATGTCCAATGTTAAAATATTTTGCTTCATTCTGTATTAGTAAGTCATTTTTTGAGTGTTCTTCTTTAATTATAAAGGATATAAGGATCCTTTGTTCCTCTACTGTCCAATTTTTAAAGTCGTATCTTATTTTTTTTAAGAATTCAAAACAAAAGCATTTTCCCATGGGAAGGATTCTTTGTAATTAATTCCAAAAATTTATTTCAAATGTATCTGGACCCTTAGTCCATTTGTAAGGTTCCTAATAGCTGAAAAGCAGTTAACAAACAATTTTCCAAAAGTGATTAGAAAAGGAAATATGTGAACTTAGTGTCCTCTCAAAGGCTCTGACCATGGTTTGAGCAAGATGGCTATTTCCTTGTCTCCCAGAGGTCTAAACCCTACAGAGACTTGTATCTTGCGGTCTCCTCATGAGGAGTTGCTGTCTAGAGCACTTGTGGGCGATCTCAAGTCCTCTCCTTGTCTGGAGAGGAATTATGAAGATGGTCTACTCGCCAGCTCTTCATTCCACTGAGGTTGTCGGCTCCGCTTTCCATGGAGACGTCTTCAGTTTGCCATTTCTTCCCCGGAAGTTCATATGTAACTTATTTTGACTTTGCTTATGTTTTGGGAAGATGAGAAGTATACACTTTTCCCCATTCCCCATCTTGGTTTCAGAAGCTCAGAACACTGATAAAGAGAGATGGGATTAACCATACCCAGTCTGGCCACTGCCAGAAATCTGACATCTACCACCATCCTTGATACAGTGAAAAAGAGATAGAGTTACTTAATACGTATATTGCCATGCACTACATCTTGGAATGTAAATATGCTACTCCATTCACAAAGCCATTTTCTGAGACATCATGTAACACATACACAAATGGGTCCACTTGCTGAGAAAAGTTGATTCCTGCTAGCACAAGGAGCGTGTGTTACTTGTTCATGAATTATCCACTAGCCGAGGATATGAGGATATGTAACCTAAAATGTTTCTGCCAACAGCCCTAAGATTATAGGTGCTTGGACTTCCTGATTCCTTGTTCCATGCTTTCCTTCCTCCTAAGTTTCTGTTGGATTCCAGGAGGAACTGGCCACCCCTTCTCGAGGCAAGTCCAGGAAGGAGAAACCTGAGATCCTCCGTGAAGTCCCGAAGGACAAGAAAAGTGCCTCTCGCGGCAGAAAAGGCATTCATTCCAGCCCCGGCACAATGACGACTTTATCTGAGCTCGATCAGGGCAGCCTAACAGGGGAACCCTCCAGTGAGAAGCTGCTCAGGTAAGGATCCTGAGGCCCCCTTGGGATGGAGGAGGGGAACGTGGCAGCCAGAGTACAAATCCAAGCAAGAACATTGATATATTGGCCTGCCCTTGATGTCTGTGACAGGTTGTTGGGGAAAAATGCTGCGGGCCACAGACAGGAACCGAAGTATACAGAAGGCTCCCCTGTACAGAAATAACTGTTCTTTCCAAATGCTCATTTTCTAAGTCTTATTGGTGTTTTTAAATCTTATTGACTATGCATCTTATTCAATGGGCTTCCTGTTTAGGTTTAGGCTTATTCCTCTAGTCTTCTATGGGTTTATCTGTTTATACATTTTATTTATTGTGCCCTTCATCCTGAGAGTTTCTAACCTTGCTGGCATGTACAGTTTCTGTGGGTTTCTATAAACTCCTTTTCCTCCTCTCCCCTTTGGTTCTGCAGGCAGCTTCCCTGAGGTCTTAGCAGAATCTTTTTCAGGGAAGGAAACAGAACAGCTTTCTTCTGTGTGTCCGAAGGTTTGGCCTCCTGGGGCGCTGGCGTAACGCAGACCTTTTCTGCTTCACATCCCCCAGGCTGAGTTGCTTTCGCTGGATTGTCCCTGCTAATGGAGAAGTTTCAATGCGCATCCATTTCTCTTCCACCAAAACGGGACTCTTTGATCAGGTCCTACGCTTCGAAATCCTGGGAACTCGGAGGCAGTATCAGGTTTGCTGCAGGGGCACCTGCACCTACCCCACCATCTGCCAAGATCCCACGTAAGCAGCCGTGTGAACCTTCCGGGCTGTGACACGGAGCAACGAAGCTGGGCATGCTGGGAGGACCTTATTGTGTCCTCCAAGCGTGGATGCAGAAGGACACCCCAGCCCAGCCTTCAGCTGAGGAGACACCCTGCCCATGGCATATTTCATGAGTAAACAGTTCTACCTTATGGGTTTTTCTCCCTGTTTGAAGCTGAGGCTGAGGTGGAAACGAAATACCTTACGAACAGGCGTAACGAAAGGGAACATTACTGTGACCAAATCTCCTCTTAGCATCTTAACTGCTTTGCATTACGTGAGATTTATATCTATTTCAACATAAGGAGGCTGAGCCATTTGCTAAAATGTATCTTCTTATAGGCAGCAAAATAAATGTGGAATGAATTTTCCAGCTAAAATGGATGGAAATTACATTATCCTAATGGTGAAGATTATACTTTTCAACAATTTGCTCACTTTCTGCCGTCAACAATGACTGATAGTGCAGAAGGATGCTATCCTTCTGAAGAGCAACCCAACATTCAGGGAATTGCTCTGTAGAGGGTCTGGTCTATATTGGGTTTCCCAGTTCTTCAGATAGTTTCCTACTTCTCAATTTTCCCTGAGAAACCAGCAGCAATTCTTTGTACTTTGCTTGCTTACTTCAGATACTGCTTGCTTAGGGATTTCTAGGTGGCATAAGAGCAGCTCTAACATAATACGGTTCAGAGACATTTGTATTCTTGGACTTGGTTCAGCTGCTGATCCATCTTTGCTTCTCTGATCCAGGATAGTGTTCCCCCACCGTAAGAAGAATATCAAGCCTGATGAAATTGTGTTCAAGAAGTACATCATGAGTTTGGGTGTGTTCCACTTTGGTCCTTTGCTTTGTGGCAAGTCAAGAGAAAAGTAAGTGTTTGTTGGGGATAGGATAGTGATATGAAAATAATGGAAAGCTCAAGGGGATTTTCAAAGGGAGATTTTCAAAAGGAGATGTTTTTTCACCAAAACCACCAAAAGTGGGGTTGGGCTGAAAGGGCTTCACATTTTTGAGTGGAAAAGACCCACTCAAAAGGAAGATTGCTGCCAACAGCAGCCAGGAATAATATGGGTGCCAAGTGATGAAGTGCAAGCTGAATGAAGTAGCATTACATTTCCTTTTCATACGTCTAAATGAAGATGCTTAAGAGAATGGGCAATGTCAGGATCATGGGGGCTTTAGGTGTTATTTATTTATTCACTGATTTAATCAAATTTATAGAACTGCCCAGCTCAACTGACTGCATGGCTTACAATATAAACAACAAATAAAATAAAAACCTCAATAAGATGGTCAAAACAAGAATAAAAATAACAGAAACCAAAAGACAAGATCTGATTATATGAAACACCCAAGAGAAACAACACCTCACCCCAGGGTCTAGGGGAAACACCACATCTTCAAGACTCATTTAAAGGCCAAGAAGGTCAGGGCAAGGCAAAGTTCTGGGGGAGTACCATTCCAGAGAGTGGGTGCCAGAACTGGGAAGAATCGTTTCTGAGAGTCATTAGATGACATTGTTTCAAGGACAGGACTCAGTGTACCCACTCTGCTGGATCTTAGGATGGGCAGAAACAGCAGGAGAAGTGTGATCCTTCAGCTAACCAGGTCCTGTGCCATGAAGGGCCTTATAGATCACCACTAGCACCTTGAATTTCACCCAGACATTTACTAGTATTGAATGTACCTTACACAGCAGAGTTATCACATGGACGTACCAAGAAATGCCCATAACTGCCCACACAGCTGGATTCTGGTCTACTTGCAGCTTGTGAGTGATCTTTAAGGGCAGTCTTATCTAGAACACATTTCAATAGTCGAAACATGAAGTGCTTAAGGCATGAGTGACTGTGAGAATAAAGTCATGGTCCAAGACAAGGTGCAGCTGGTGCACCAGACACATCTGGGCAAAGGCTTTCCTGGCCTCAGCTGCCAGCCTGCTCTTTGGGAATCCAGCCCCCCCCCCCCAAATTGTGCACTGGCTCTGGGGAAGTGCAACACCATCTAGAATTAAAGATGGCAGATCCCGGATACTGAGAGAGCCAAAACCCGTGGCTGTTCTGTCTTGTCAGGGTTGAGTTTAAACCTGTTTCTCCTCATCCATATCTTCACAGCCTCCAAGCACTGGGATATGACCTTGATAGCATCATTTGGTTGGCTTGGGGTTGAGACGCAGAACCCAGTATCATCAGCATCGTGATGGTATTGGACCTGTACACTGGCAGATGACCTCACCCAGTGGTTTCATGTAGATTGAAAATGTTCTTTTTTCACTTCATGCAGTTTGTCAAGATCTGGCCAGGTCTCTCACCACTTTTTATGTACGCATGTTAACACAAACTTGCTTTGTTGTAATAATATTAACTCATATTTAGTTTGTTGTATCTTGCTACTGTAATTAGACTGGTGGTAGGATTTCTGGCCATCTATGTTCAAAGAGCTTTCAAAAAGTAAACAGGGAAAATGAGGAGAAAAAAAGAATTCAAACATTACTTGGGAGCATGCCTGGGCAAGAGAGACAGTGCAGTATCCAAAACAACGAGCCATGAATTGCTAAATAAAGGAAGAGAAGAAAACCTTGCCTAACAGAAGAAAAAAGACTTTTAAAAAGGTGATGAGGTTAATAATGATGGTAATTGTGATGGTGATGTTACTGCATTGGTTGAAGGTAAAATGAAACATTTGGAAAAACAGAAGCATCAGTTTTAAGTTCCATTAGGAAACCTCCATCAAGGATGGGATCTGAAACTTCAGATTTGCTGATTGTTGTCTAGATTTATGCAAAATCACAAATTTTGTAGTAGCACAAAGAAACTGAACAATAATGAAGACTCTCCTCTTCACATTAAGGGGATTTTAATAATTTGCTCAAAAGAGCAGCATAAGGAAATGTCTAAAGAACTGTTTTGTAAGCTCTATTGTTATGTCTCCTCTACAGTCAGACTTCCTTGAGCCGCCCACAGAGGCACATGTTGCTAGCTCTCCCCACGTGCAGCATTGCATGCAGTGGGAACAGCCAGACATGGGTTTGCTGAGATTGCTGGAGGCATAGCCGAGGGAGGAGGCACATTGAAACTGCCTGATGACCTGGAGGGGAAGGAGACAGATAGCAAAAACCAGGCTGTTGGTGTGAAAGGACTTCCTATATGGGCACAATAAAGGACATTGTTTATGTTTGAAGGTCCTAGTACCAGTAGAAATGGTGGGCTTGGAGCCTCCTTGACAAGTAGAAATTAGAGACACCGGGTCAGCCCATAGTAAGGCTACCCCATGTTCCTATCAGATGCTACATTCTGGCTGCAAAGGTCATCTTACAATTTACATTGCCTTTTATACTTCTTGTGAATCATTTCAGAGGGTGTACAATCATAACCTTGTGCGCTTTGGGATTCTTTTGCAAATTAGCCTCAGTCTTATTCAGAGTCAGGCGGCATACAAATTTGATAAATCAGTCAATCAGTCAATAAGCTTTATGCCCCCTTTCCAAGCAGGAGGGTAGGAGAATGACCCTTCTCCCAACAGTAAGTGTGTCCATCTTAGCCGGGGTTGCTCATTTATGGGCTAAAAAAATTGTAATACCACAACAGGCCTTTCTTGCAAAATGGACAGAACTGGTCTTGAAGTTTATTTCCTGTCTTGTTTTTTAAAAAGACTAGAGACTCCTTCTTTCTTCTTGGTTTCTTTCTGTGCTGAGAGTCGGGCTTTATGGCTCATCTGGAGGATGCGTTATCCTCTCTTGTGGATGGAATTGGAGGGCTAAAGTCGAAGAGGCCAACTCTGGCTTGGCTTCTCCCAATGTGCCTGCCTGCCTGCTTTTCGTGTTTTCCCTCTCTGAGTGCAAGGATTCAGACCTTCCTCAGACATATGCACTGCAGTCTGGCCTGGGGGAGGAGGAACCCCTCCCACCCTCACCCCCTTCAGGCAGCTTGGCGGCCATCAAGCACGTCTTCTCTCTGCTTTTCTCCTGCCTTCTTCCCGTGCTTTCTAGGTACAAGGCTGCGCGTTATCCCAATCACTTTGAAAAGATCACCATTCTCAACATATCCCCTTTGGAGGCCGAAGTGCATTTCTTCTTCCAACATGACTCCAGGGCAATCACCTACCTCTTGGATCCGCCTATGCTCGTGCTGAAGCCGAACCAGAAGCAGGTAAGAACAGCAGGCGGCCACTTTCCTGGTCAGGCTTTGCCCTGGAACGGATTCCACTGAGATTCCTGTCCTGTCCTTCTAGGTGTTGACTGTCTGGGCGTATCCAACAGCTTCTGGTCTGTTTGAGGACAGCATTGTCTGTTGCATTAAGGAGAACCCAGAGCCTGTAACCTTCCGGATATGTTGCCAGGGAGTTCGTCCAGAACTGGAGCTGGACCGTCGACAGCTGCATTTTGAGAAGCTGCTGCTGCACAGGTTTGGCTTTAGTAGATCAGGCTATTTCAGCCACCTGTCTGCTAAAAATCCCTCACTGTGTGTCTCTTGCCTTGACCAGGATGGACATGGAACATGGAGAGGGTGGGGAAGTTATTAGGGGATTTTTGACCAGTGTTTCATTTCTTATATCTAATTTTCCAGAGTTTCACGCCTGATGTTATTTTCTTCCATACTGTGAAGTACCGCTGCCTGTGTTTGAGGAAAATGCCACAGAATTTTCAAGAGGGAAATGTCATAACATTAGAAGAACTCCATATCCAGAGGCTTCTAGACCCTCCTAGGTTGTCACTAGATTTGGCAACATTCGAAGTGAATCTGGATGCATTTAAAAAAACAAAGCTTGTACAGGTAGACCTCGGGTTACGATGGCAGTTGGGACCAGTATTTCCATTGCTAAGCAACGTGGTCATAAAGCACAATGTCACATGACCACTTTGTTTAGCACGGCAATCCAGGTTGCTGTCATAACCCAGAGACCATGGGGGCGTTAAGAGAAAAACTCATGTGACCAGAGTCCTAGGCGATCAGGCCAGTGGACAAGAGCTGTGGGGAGGTAGGTGAATGCCACAGCCAGGTGCTACTGAGCATGGGCGGGCTGGTGGGGGCCACAGGCAAGCCAGCGGGGGCTGTAAATGGGCTAATGAGAACTATGGGCTACTGAGCATGGGCAGGTTGACAGGGGCCGTGTGTGGGCACTACTGAACACGGGTGGGCAAACATGCCTAGAGTGCCACTGGAGGTCGATGAGGAACAAACTCGACCAAACATAGGTGAGAGACACTATTAAGGCCTACCTTGTGGCAGTAAGGGCAGCAAAGCATCGCTACTTCTTCACCCTTATTGCTGCCCTTGAAGAGCATCCAGAAGCTGCAGCTGGTACAGAATGCAGCAGTGCAGGCAGTTATGTGCGCTCCTCAATCAGCACACATTACACCTCTGCTCTGTGAGCTGCATTGGTTGCCAGTTTGCTTCCGGGTTCAATTCATGGTACTGGTTATGACTTATAAAATCCTATATGGTATGGGACCAGGTTGTTTGAGGGACCCCCTCTCTCCTGTTATATCTACCCATTGCATCAGGACCGGCAGGAAAAGGCAGGAAAGTTATGGGTCCTATCTACAAAAGAATGGCATCTGGTGGGACCCAGGAAGAGAGCCTTTTCTGCCATGGCGCCTGGCCTGTGGTACATCTTTCCCCCAGATCTTAGATTGGCCCTTACTTTCCCAGCCTTTAATAAGGCTCTGAAGACATGGCTCTGCCACTGTGCCTGGGGGTCTAGGAATAGTGGGGAGTTCTTACAATGGCTGTTTTGAGCTGTTGTAGAATTAATTTTGCTGCTGATTGTGATTTTCTGTTTTTTTTTAATAGATTATGGAGACTTTTTATATTTTTTATACATTTGTATACTGGTTTTTAACTTGTTTTTATTGGATTGTTTTTTACCTTTTGTGAGCTGCCCAGAGTTGCTTAGATGATGGGTGGCCATGCGAATTGAGCAAATTAAATAAATAAGATGCATTAATGTCAATATAACTTTGCATTTGAAAAATAAGTCAGATAAAATAAATCAGAAATTCAAAATAAGGCTTTAATATATTAGCCCTTGTCTGGCTTCTCTTGCGTTTTCAGAAAGGAAACAAAATCGCTTTACCTAAGGAATGGGACTCCATTACCAGTAGCATGGCGGATCAGCGGCCTGGAGAGCATTGGCGATGACTTCAGCTTGTCAGATGACATAGGCCTCATTGAGCCCTTTTCAGAGCACTGCCTGCTGGTGAATTTCAAGGCTACAAAGGCCCTCAACATTAAAAAGGCTATCCGGCTGGAGGTGAATACTGCACAGGAATAGAGTAACAACTATAACCCTAAAAACTTGATGGACTTGGTTGTGATGAAACGATGAGACCATTAGCAAAAGATATAAGGATGGGAAGTTCTGGGCGAGGGACAGAATGTTTTCTGCAATCCCAAGGGTGGATTTTGGGAAAAAATATATATGGGAAGAAAAGAAAATATGAAAAGTAATATGATTTCAGGAAGAGAAAGTATGAGACCCATATGAAAAGGTATCAAAAGATAGATTATTCCCTTAATAGAATTGTAGATGGAAAAAAATAACATGAAGGCTGCCTTGAAGAGAATTATACCGTGCCCCAGAAGTGGGAGGGGTTATGGTAATGAAAAGTAGGAGAAAGGAGGCTTGGTGGAACATAGGGAAAGAACCTGTGGGTGTATGGACATGCATGTAAGAGAGTGCAGCAAAAAGTAAGGATGAGTTGCAAGAGTACAAGATATTGCGATCAATGCAACATTTTATTGCAGTCTTTGACCAGAATTTGTGCATCTCCAGTATACCAATTTGAGGCTGTAGTGATCTTAGAAAACGTGTGGTGTACTAGACCTCCCTAGATGGCTGTGAGCAAAGGCTCTGCATGGCTAGGAGATGGCTAAACCTGCTTTCTAAGACTGCTGTGTTAAAAAGAGCTCTGAAAAAGGCCCAGTGATATTTAGGGGAGATAAGTAACTTCAGATAATTCTCAGGGTAGTATTTTAAGCTTTCTCTAGATGACCGGTACAATCTAGTAGTTGTCTTTACAATAGCTACATTGTGAATTCTTTATCACATCCTTGGCTTTGCCTAAATCAGATTAAAATAGATATGTGGGACAGTTCATAAATGTGAAGTTTCTTTATAACATTTCCCCATCACTTTGATCTATTCCTGCCCAGTGCTATTTGGGGAAGCAGCCATGCTATCTCCAGATTGAACTTTAGTTGGGCAAATAATGTTTAAGGATTTCTTGAGAGAATGGTAGCCTAGGTTGGTTATACATATGTTTAACTGGGGTCAACTTTTAGTTGAGATCCATTTTTTTGCAGATGTTTCTCCCTTAGCGCAATGGTTCAGACATGGGTATTGCCTTGTTGTAGTGTGGAATTTGAATTTTGTGACTGGGAAGTGTTAGTTGATTGGTGGTTGGAAATGATGTTAGCTATGTTCTGATTGGTCTGCCTTATCAATATGTTGCAAATTACTTAGGTCTTCCATCTGATTGGGTGGTAGATTGTATCTAGTTTCATTGACCAGTTGATGCCTTTTTATTTTATTTAAGTGTCAGGCTTTCAGGAATTCTCTGGCTCTTCTGCGGGTTGCATGGTCAATTACTTCTATATTTTCCAAGTCAAATGTGTGGTTCACTTTGAGGGAAAGGCTGGCTGTTAGGTACTTTTGGCCTTGGTTCTTCGGTGCAGTTGGTGTTCTGTCTGCCTTACGTAGTGTTGGCTGCAACCCAGGCAGCTGATTCTGTATATGATGCTGGTTCTTTTCTGGTGGGGTGTGTAGCCTTTGGTTTACACAGGATTCTTTGTAGAGTGTTTGTGGTTGGGCCACAGTGACAGCGTGAGGCAGAAATCGCTAGTGAATGGCATCTGGAAGTTAATCAATCAGACTTTATTACAAGTCACTGACCCAGACTTCATTAAAAAAAAAAAAGGGAAAAAAAACAGTAAGTAATGCAAATTATAATGTAATATGCATGATAAAAAGGCCTGTAGTCATGCATGGTGGCCTTGGTAAAAATTACAGTACAGAAGGGTGTTGTGTCTGGAGGTAGGGTTTAACCAATTATCCATTCCAAATAGCAATCTGGAATT